ATGCCATAGGCCCTTCACATACGTCGATTGCCTCTTTTAGTCCAAAGGAAACAGTAATATCCAGATTTTACATATTAGGAAATCCGAACCCTGGCTTCGGGCTTGACTGAAGCTGCTGAAGAGAATGTTCCGGGCTTGCCAAAGGAGAGGGAGAGTTTGAGGGCGTCCAGTGTTGCTCGCTGAAGGCCCCGACTAGCCCACGAGGTAGCCTCAGAGGCCCAAGTGAGTTTAAGGGGCCTGCCAGGTCCCCATGCGACCGAACACAGGAGCTGGAACGCGCCCCCGGGTCTGCCCGACCCGGATCCCCGCTCCCCGCTCCCCGCTCCCCTTCCTCTGGCGATGAGAGGGGTGCGGCCCTGAGCACCCCCGGCAGGCCAGCCCCCCTTCCACACTCCCACCCTGTTCCCTAGAGGCCAAGGTCGGGGAGAGGGTCCGGGAGCAGGGGCAAGAGCGCAGTGCGTTGCTGAAGGCGCCGAACGAAGCCCTAAAGCCTCTGGCCGTGAGGAGAGGGGCTCAGGGACCCCCGCCCCGAGGTTAGAGAGGGGCAGCAGGGCAGACGGGGGGCAGCGGAGCGTGAGAAGATGGGCAGGGCTCGTCTTAGTCCGCTGGGCTGCCACGACGGAACACCTTGGGGCGGGGGGCGTAAGTAACAGACATTTATTTCTCGCAGCTTCGGCAGCAGGAAGTCCGAGATCAAGGTGCCCACTGACTTGGAATCGGGGGAGGACTCTCTTCCCAGCTTGCAGATGGCGCCTTCTCTGTCTGTCCTCGCAGGGCCTTTGTGGAAAGAGGGGTCTTACTCGCTTCTTCCTCTCATAAGGCCTCCGATCCTGACGGGTCAGGACTGACTGTGCCCTTACGAATGCGTTCGATGCGCGTCTTCTCCTAGAAGTCCTCACAGGCACATGGAGGGTGAGGGCTTCAACGGATGGCTTTGTGGGGGGCACGCTTCAGTCCGTAGCAGGGCCGTCACTCTAGAAGAAGCCACGCTCCGGTTCATCTTGACCTCCCGGAGCGTGTAAGGATGAAGAGGGAAGGGGATCCCTCCGGATGTGCCTCTGAGTCACACTTCCTGGGTGACCCATGGGGCGTGAACACGGGCAGACCTCAACTATCAGCAAGATGCCCCGAGGATCCAATTTCCCCACTTCTGACGCACCTGCTGACTCAAGGCCAAATCCAGTGATTCTTTCCAGCACGTTCTCTGCCTGGTTCCTCTGCTTTGAGCTTCTGGGGTCAGGGGAAGGGCAGGCAGCCGGAGGTGCCACTTCCAGCCCAAGGGGATATCGCCTACTCTCTTCCGGCAGCCGCACTTCTCCCCTCGGTCATTGCACCTGAAACTGTGAGAGATCAGAAGAGGACCTGGACGCACCCGCTTCCTCAAACACGGGAGCGGGCGTTTGCGAGCCAGGCCGACGTGGATTTGAAAGAACCTCCCTAGCGGGGCACACGCTCACGTGCATCACAGCACTTCTGACACATTTTTTTTGAATAGTATCTTTTCCAAAGCCCATGTGGGCCCAGCGCAGCGACACTGAGTTTGGCTTTTAGACCTGGCTGTCGTAGATTCCAATACACGACCCTGGACATGGCACGTCTCCAAGCGTAGGCGTTCTTGTCTGTAAAACGTGGGGAAGATTTCAAGAATGGTGGAGGTGGCATTTGTCAAAGTGCTTCAAGGATAACATCATAAAACTAAGGCAGGTATTATTATTATTAAGAACAATCAGTCATTCCTGCCTTTAAGTTTCTATAGCCATTGTATGGAAGACAAATTGTATGCACTACAGACCGTGTATAGTAGTACTGCGTCCATTATGCGTCAAATTGTTCCCCCATAAAGATGTTGAAGACCTGCTCCCTGGTACCTATGGAAGTAACCTTATTTGGAAATACAGATGATCCAGTTAAGAAAGAGGTAGGTCGCTGCTTGGGGGACCGGGCGGGGCGGGGCAGGGGAGGGCTCCAACACAATGCAACTGGTGGCCTTATAAAAAGGGGAATTTGAAGAGAGACAGACACACGCAGGGGGAAGACACTGTGAAGAGACAGGGCAGAGACAACCTTGACATCCCAAGAAACCCCGAGGCTACTGACAGCGGGGGGCGGAGGGGCTGGAACAGACTCTTCCTTAGGGTCCTCAGAAGGAACTGGCCCTGCCGACACCTGCATGTTGGACTTCCAGCCTCCAGAATCTGAGATAGTAAATGTTTGTCACTTAAGCCGCCCAGTCGGTGGTACTAGTTCCCGGCAGCCCCAGGAAACCGGTACACCACCTTACCCTGACTTGGCTTTCTTACTTGCTCCAGTTTATGAAACGCCAAGGTCCTTACTGAGTGACTCCTGCGCGCCCTCCCTCCACGAGGCTTCACGAGGGGCCTGCGGTCCTGGCCCTGAAGGCCCGGAGGACACAAAAAGGAAAGGATCAGGTTGTGTCTCACCCGAGGGAGACACACGCCCTCTTCAGAAGTTCAGAGAAGGGCGAGGGATACGCGAGCTGGGAGGCCGGGGGCAAGGTGAGAGCTGAGCTGAGCCCTGAGGGATAAGATTGTTCCCGACTGCCAGGGAGAGAGAGGAAGGCTCTCCAGGTGAGAGGACAGCCCCCAGGCCAGGTGCGGGGTCCGCGGGGGCGGCGCAGGCCAGGAGCACGCTCCGACCGCCTCCGCACTCTCACCGAGCTTCCTCACCGTCCACCCCGCCTCCCGCCTGCACCCACCACCATCTACCCTCCTCCTTGGCTTTAAAAAAAAAAACTTCATCTGAGAACATGCCTATTGATTTTAGAGAGAGGGGAAGGGAGGGGGAGAGAGAGAGGGAGAGAAACATTGATGTGAGAGAGAAACATCGATCAGTTGCCTCTTGTATGAGCCCTGACCAGGGATTGAACCCGCAACAGGCATGTGCCCCAGACTGGGAATCCAACCCGCGACCTTTCAGTGTACAGGATGATGCTCTAACCAACTGAGCTGCATCAGCCAGGGCCTCCGTGGCGTTGAAGGCCCAGGGAAATAAATGGCCACCTGCTCCAGGAGCCTCTCCTGCTCCTCTTCCTATGCGCTGCATTTGCAGGTGGTCAGAGCTCAGGCCTCAGGGACCAGAGGTATCAAGCTTTGTGAGGACACTTGTAGCTGTGGGACTGTGCGTGGAAGAAGGGGCCCCGTTCCTGTGGCAGAGATTCCACCGCTGTGGTTCCGGTGCTCACCAAAGCGGCTGTCGGCTTCTGGGCACGCGGGAGGGTGCAGTTCCCAGGCCCCTGGCAGCCAGGGACCCTGCGACTGACTCTGTCAGTGAATGCGGGCAGAAGTGATGCGCGCCCCATTCGGGCCTGGCTCCTAATGACCCCCGAGAACCCGAGACCGGCCAGAGCTCTCCCTCCTCTGGGAGCCGGCCGAAAGGCGAGGGGCCTGTGGAGGTTCAGAAGGAGGGTGGTGGGACCTCTGTATGGAAGACGCTGGGACTCCTCAGCACCGCTGTGGTCTTCCCCATGCCCGCCAACCTGCCCTGGAGTGGGATCAGGTATGTTGACCCCAGCAGAACACAGATAGCCAGCCCTGCTAACCGTCTGCGGCCACCCGGCCGACGGGCCTGGTCTGGGCACCTGACCCAGGGCCCCTCGCCTGGAGCGCTACCCTCGTCGTGGATACATTACAGGAAGCCTCCACAAAGACCTTGACCTCTGGTCCCTGCTGAGAAGGAAAAATGGTGACCCAGGCTCTGGGCGGTGGGCATCAGGGCTGCGGGTCCTGCTGATGCTCTGTTGTGATTGCCTAGTCCTCAGTGCTCATGGCAGCTACACGGACTAGGAGACCAGCTTACCCGGGAGTTCCGCCCTCTGCCCGAGGAGGGAGGGGTCTGGGCTCAGACCACCTGGTTTCCAGGCCCCACCCTATCCCCCTGGAAGTCACCCACCTGCCCACGCGGTCCCCCACCACAGCCTCCTGGGTGGTGGGAGGTCACCACCGTGTGATTGTGGAGGAGGATTTGAGTTTTCCCCTGGAGAGGCTAGCAAGACAGTTTGTCTCGGCCTCCCACTAAGGCCCAGCTCCACATTTACGGCTGTTTCTGTGGTTACCTTTCTTCAGGGATGTTTGGGGTGGGTGGTGGTGGTAGTGGTGGGTGTGGGTGGATATTAGCTCTTCCAAGGCCCCGATTTTCAGGAGCTGCTGGGTGAGAAGTCCCTGATTCCTGCCCTCTGACGCAGGTGCCATGGGCAGGGGTGGAGGAAGTTCGAGGGAACAAGGTCTGCCCCTCCCTGAGACCCCAGAGTCCGTCTGTCCCTGGGGCTGAGATGTCAACCCAGCCCCGTCCTCGGCGGAGACTGAAGACCCACAGTGCGTCAGGGAGGGAAGGGCCTGAAGGAGCTCGGTCCTCCTCCGGTCCATTTTATAGGAGGGGAGCAGAGGCCGGGGCGCCCAGGCGGCCTGCCCAACGGCCTGGAGTTAGCGCAGGGCCCCTCCTCCGGGCCCCGGGCTCCTGCCCTGCAGGAGGCACGGGAAGATTGGTGGTATCTGCTCACCGGACGGGCGGCAGGGGGTGGGGAGGTTGGGGCGGCCACAGGGGCCTGAGAGGCGGCCTGGGGCGACTCGGCCTGTTCCCCTTCTGGGCCACCCGAGCTGCACTTCCTGCAGAGATCTCGGGAGGCGGGGGAATCTGGCGCGGGGCCGGCTCTTCTTGGGCGCCGCCTCCCGGCCTCTTCCACACCCGCGGGCCAGAGGCCAAAGGTTTGGGAGGCGGAACCAGGGCTTCCCTCACCCGAAATCCGGGCGGTGCTGGGACTGGGTCGGGGTCCCTGCTCCGCCTAGAGTGCGCCTAAAGGAGCTAGGGGACACTGTGGAAAGGTATAGGGGTCCTGAGCCAAGGAACCGGCGGGGGCGTGGCCGGGGCGACGGCCCGGGCGAATGTGGGGGCGTGGTCGAGGCGGAGGCGGGTCCGCAGGAAACTTGAGCGCCCGCCCCGGGCCGCGCGCCCCGCCCCCGGCCCCCTCTGGGCCCCGCCTTCCCGTCCCTTCCTTCCCGGGGCCGGCAGGCGGGCCTCTGCGTCTGCAGGCGGCGGACGGGCGGACCGGCTCGATCCCTCCCTCGCTGCCGGCTTCCTTTTGTTTTTCTGGACGGCGATGAGCACAGGGCCGGTGCGGCGGCTGCGGGCGCAAGGAGGCCCGCGCTCCTAGCCACCCTTCCCGGCCTCGGCGCGCTAGTCCCAGGCAGCGGCCAGCGCCTGCCCCAGCGCGGCGGCGCCGAACTTGGGATCGGGAAGCCGGCGGACTGCGTCCTGCGTTGGAGCAGGTAGGGAAGGGGCGGGCAGCGGGCAGCGGGCAGCGGGCAGCGGGCAGCGGGCTGCGGGCTGCGGGCTGCGGGAGTGCGGGCGTGTGTGCTGGCCTCCGCTGCGACCCGGCTCTCCGTGTGTGTGTGTGTGTGTGTGCGTGTGTGTGAGTGCGCGCGCGCGCGCGCGTTTGTGTGTGTGTGGGGGGGTGCCCGTGTTTCTCTGGGTGGTGGAGTTGTGGGTAACAGGATGCCGGTGTGTCCCTGGAATGGCGTGTCCTCGTGGGGATCCGTGCGTGCACATTTTGGATTGCGTTTGAGGAATTGTGTGTCAGGGACAGTTGCCGGGCGGGAGGACCGGTGCGGGGTGGGCGTGCAGTGTGAGAGGCTGTGCGTGGGGCGGGAGTGGCGGGGTAGGCGTGGGCGGTCCAGCCCAATGCTCCGAGCCCCGTCCTCGCCGGCCCGTGCAGTGCGGGGTTCTGGAGCCCGCGGGGACAGCTGGGATCCCCAGGGGCTAGCGCGGGCTTCGGGGCAGCTTGTATTAGCCCCGCCGGGAGGCAGGTCCACGCGGCCCACGTGGGTCGCCTTTGCGCTCTGACTGGGGGAGGGGGCATGTGGGCCATCCGCTTCCTTTTTCCCTGGTGGAGGGGCGACGGACAGAGCCCCTGTTCCCGAGTTAGCCCTGGTGCCGCCGTGACCTGCACTGCGACCTGGGTCAGACACGCCACCCTCCTGGGTTAAAATTTGCTTCACTATCAAATGGGGACAGTTCCTCCCTCGGGGTCTGTCGTGACAGTTAAAATGAGAACGCACTCAAGATAGCTCTTGGCTAAGTGCCTGGTGCATAGTAGGTGCTATGTTCATTGGATTGGAGTCACTTCAAAATAAAATCTTTCCTATTCCTTATCGTGGGTGGGGCTCTTACATTTCCCCTCCTGCGCGTGTTTTGCTCCTCTCTCACGGCCGTAACTTAACCGTGGAGCACCGAGATTCGAGAAAGTTTCGGCGGGGAGGCGCCGCCTCCCCCTTGTCGCACCTCCCCGACGGACGGTGGCGCCCCGGGTGTGCAGGGGCGCGCAGCGCGCGGCGCCGGTCCATCTCCAGCCACCGAGGCTCCGGCGCCCGAGCGGCGGCGCGGGGGTGGGGGGGCGGGCGGGCCGGCCTCTGGCCAAGCAGCGGCCGCGAGGGTCCGGAGCCCTTTTGTTCAACAGGTGCCTGGTGCGTGCAGCTCGTGGCATCGGAGAACCATGGGATGGAAGTGGCGCTCCCCTCGGGGCCGGATCTCGGGCTCCCAGGGCATCCTGGCCGCGCCTGGTTCCCCCTGGAGGAGAGCGTTTGCCAGGATGCCGAGTCCTGCCTTGGGCCTCCCCGCTGGACACCCTCGGGGCCCCCTCTGCCCCCAACCCGCTCCCACAGGAGGCCAAGGGTCCGCGTGGGATCCTGCATCCTAGCGCCACACCCTAATTTTAAAAATATTTCGTTTGGAATCCTGCTACTGATAACATTGCACTGCAGTGAGTGTAGCCACTGCTCTAACCGCGATGTGCTCTCAGGGAGAGCCCTGCCAACAGCACGGCGGCGCTGGCTCAGACCCCGCAGGGCCATCTGGCAGCTGCCTCCTGCCAGGGCCGGTGACTCCTTGCCTCCCTCTTCCTGGTTCCTTCTTCTCAGGACCCTACCGAGTCTGAACAACAAATAACCCCTCACCAAGGGAGCAGCCGACCTCGCCACGCCAGAGGCTCTTGAAATGGAGCCTGCATGGAACGGGCAGGGGCGTGGGGACAGCAGCCAGGGCTGCCTTTGCCTACGGGCTGCGTTGCCCAGGGTCAGGTGCTCCCACTGGCGTTCCCGGGGAAGCCGGGACACTGCGCAGGCTTTTCTGACACAGTCGCAGAAAGCTCTGGTTCCGTTCCTCTGGTCCGTTTTCCACCAGGACCTCAGCCAGGATGGCACAGCGGGAGGAAGGGAATAAACGAAGGTTTCGTCCTGCTCGATGCCAGCGGCACACTTAGGGTGCAACCTGTTTCGTAAAGTGACTTTATATCCTAGAAGAGAAGGGGCTTTTGATCTGAACCCCACTCTCTTCCCTGTAATCGGATTCCATAGTAATATATTTTTTAAAAAATCTCCCTGGCTTTCTCAGAAGAGAGACCAAGAGCCGGGTTATTTTCCCGCTAGTTAAAACCAGCCCTTGGTCTCAAGCAAACCAGTGTTTTGGCCCTAGCTCTATTTCTGTTTCACTTTTGAAAGTGCCTGTAATTACTGAGCTCTTGAGGCTTTATTGGATAATGTGCCGGAGAGAAGGCCCAGGGGTTCTGCCTCTCTCCCCCCCGCCGCGGGGGGTAGGGCTGCGCGCTAGCCTGGCCTGCCCTTTACATTCCACTCTTACGCTTCCTGTAAGTGGGCAATAGATGGCAACGTGCGGTAATAATTTGGGAGGCTTGGCGCTGGCGATCAGGTGCCCGGAAGGTCATTCGACTGGAGAACAGGAATAATTCAAAACCCCAGAAGAACAGAGATTTGCCCAAACTCCAGCCAGCGATCCATTCATTCCCCACAATCCCTCCTAGGGAGAGATTCCTAAGAGAAATAAAAGCTTGGACAGAGTCCTCCAGAATTTACCTAATGCCCCCTTCTGGCCAGACGGCTTTGCCAAATGAGAAACACAAGAGGGACCAGGAGTGGACGGTGCCCCTGGTGCACAAACCCGGGTGCATTTCTACCTGGGGCTGCTGTGCAGCTTCCTCAGGTGAGGCCGTAGTGTTATCTCCCAGGGCTGCGTGCCCTGCCTCCGGGGCCTCGCATGCGCAGTTCCAAGGTTGCCATTCACAGAAAATACCGTGTTGAGTGCCTGGCATCTGGGCAGCCTGTCTCCCCATGACTCCCATGGTCCTCCCCCCAACCTTATTCTGAGGCCTTGTCTTGCCCCCTCTAAGTGGCGAAGTGCCAAGCTCATAGCACCGACTTACAAACCAGTGATAATCCAGGATACTAATAAGGAGCCTCCGAGTTTATTTGGCACCAAGGAGTAAGCTAGTTGGCGGCTGAAATGTTATCTAGATTGGGATCAGGTTTATGTTAGAACTCAGCATTCCAGCCAGTCCTAAGTCATGCTTGTTTGTTGTGGGATAATGCTACCAATTTATGAGTTGCCAGCCCGGACTTGATGGGGGAATGTGTGTCGTTTGCAGCACCTGATGTCATTGTGTTTGGGAAGGAGGGCACTGTAGACTTCAGTTGTGCTTTTCCTGGGGACTCACTATTCAGCACCCTCTCACTGCGTTTCTTTAGTGTTTCCATGCCCGCACCGAGGGCTGCACATCTGTGCATCTCGTGTGGCCCTTTGGGTTGAGTTTCTAATCGTATATGGGGATCACGGAGCAGGCTTAGGGGTACTCTCTGTGCCGCCTGCCCCTTGGGAAAAAACGGTTTCTTTCAAATCACTTTCCACCAAAACAACAACAGAAAAAACGGTTGGAAAGGAATGGCTTGGGGTTTAACGTAACTTTCGGTAATCAATACTGTTTGGCAGGTGGAACATTTCTTAGGCACAGGAGAGCAAGGTGCAGGTCTAAAGAATTTTTTTTTAATCATCTGAAAAGCACAGTAAATCCTTTACGAGAGCCCTGCCTTGGCGCTGTCCTTTCAAGTATAATTGAATTTCTGAGGCAGAGCTTCATATCTCCGCATTTATGAGGCATGACTAACTAAAGACACCTTCCAAGAGATCGCAGGCTCTCTTCCTGTTGCAGCCCTTCCCTCCCTACATCAGGGCAGCAAAGGGCCCTTCCCGGGGCTTTTTTTGTGCCCCTTTATCAGCCCTTGTATCCCCTCCTGGAGGTCTCCCCTGATTGCCCCTGCACCCTGCTGCCCTGGCCGGAGCCCTCCCTTGCTTTGTGTGCCCTGTAGCGAGGGAGGCGCGCCTGTGTCCTGTCCCGCAAGGCGCCGAGTGCTCAGGTGAGCGGACCTGAGCTGCCCCCACGCTCGCCCCCGCCTCGCGCAGTCCTCCAGGGTGCACACCAAGGGGGAACCCCAGAGTCCCCCCAACACTGAGCGCCCTTCTTCGGCCCTCTGGGGTGGGCGACTCCCTCTGCTCGCTTGTTACAGCCAGAGGTCTCAGGAGCGTTTCTGTGCTCTTTCCCCCTTTTCATGCCCCCAACTAATGGGTCCGTGGTCTCCCTCTTCCCTGTCGCTGCTCCACCCACCCCAACGCCTCCTCTTCCATTCACGCTGTCCTCAGTGTTTGAAACAGGGCCGTAGTCTCACTCTATCCGCCCCCCTCCGTCCATCCTCCTCTGGCTGTGTGCCTTGCTCCTTGGAAAGCTGGACCCTGGCCTCCTCCCGTGGGAGGGGACCGGTCCATCCAGCATGGCGGGCACTGCAGGGGGATGGGGAGGGGGCCCAGCCCAGCTGGGGCGGGGCCTTTGGGGAGGGATGTCGCCACACCAACACCCGGGATGGGTGCAGGTGTCTGGGAGGGGGCCATGGAAGGAAGTCCGAGCGAGCGGGAAGAGAAGACAGGCAGTCCCACCTGCAGCCCCCACAGAGAGGGCTGGTTCTGGGCCCACGTCGGTCACCCACCTGAGACCTGGAGGCGGAACATCTGGCTGCTCACGCGGCTGCAGCAGCAGCAAAGGGTGGTGGCTGTTATTGGCTGTTTGTTTTTTTCTTTGGTGGGGGGGCAGTGCGTCCTCTGTTCCTAAGTATTTCTTTTCACATTCAGGGACTTGTAGGCATATTTTGACCCAGACTGTAGTAGCGAGGCATCTGATGTGAGAGCCTGTGAGTGTGTGTGTGAAGGCGCCTGGAAGGCGGCCAGGAAGGGGCGCCACGTGGAGTTGGGGGTTGCCGGCTTGGGCTGCCGGCTTGGGTTGTCACAGCTCCTGTCTTCTGAGAAGCGTCTCTCGCGGTCCTCAACACAGTGACCCTGACCTTGGGGGAGCTGCACAAGACAAGGAGGCCCAGGCCCCTCGCTGCCCTGCCCTCCCCAGCGCTTGGAAAGCGTTCACTGAGTTTGGGTGTGT